GCATCAGTTTGTTGAAAGATTTCAGTTTGTATTCCATCAAATTCTGGAGCCTTGTTTTTCACCAATACCAGTACAGCTTGGACTTCGTCCTTCAGTACCATTTATTCTTGATCATGTGCTAACTCCTGAAATGATTGAATATTGATCATCTCTTTTTGTTACAATGACTTTATGTATTCCTTCCATCTTCTTTTGATGCTTTCCACATCGTTCAATATTTACCCATTGTTGATGTTGTTGTTACGTGCTGTCTAGTCCGTTCCAACTAATACCAACCCTGTTAGTTGAGGAGCGGCTAGTAGATTTGAACTTGCAGTGACCAGTCCAATGCTTATTCTATAGTGCCACACCAGGACTCCATATTTGCTCATAGAATTCGTCACTATAGCAAGTCGAGGCTTGAATATTTTTCCTCAGTTTTTTCAGCTTGAGAAATGCTAAGCATGTTCTTCTCTTTTGGTTTTCTAACTCCACACGTTTTGCAAATTTCATTATAATACTTGGCTTTGTCTTCTTGAACTGTCCTTTGAAATTTTCTATTCAGCTCTTTTACTCCCTCACTTCTTCCATTTGCTTTAGCTTCTCTACACTGGAGAACCAGTTTCAGGGTCTCTCTGACATCGGTTTTGGTCTTTGTTTTTTCTTTCTTGTTGCAATGACCTTTTGCTTTCTTCTTGTATGATGTTCTTGGTGTCATCCCACAATTCTTCTGGTCTTTGATCATTATTGTCTAATGCATCAAATCTCTCCTTGGGATGGTTCTAAATTCAAGTGGGATATATTCAAGGTCATATTTTGACTCTCTTGAACTTATCTTCATTTTCTTCAGCTTCAGCCTGAACTTGTGCTGATAATATTGAGCTTTTCCACACTCTCTTCCAACAGGTATAGTCAGTTTGATTCCTGTGTATTCCATCTGGTGAGGTCCATGTGTATAGTGGCATTTTATGTTGTTGAAAAATAGTATTCATAATAAATAAGCCATTGGTCTTGCAGATTTCTACCATGTGATCCCCAGCATTATTCCTTTCATGGAGGCCATATTTTCCAATTACCGATCTTTCCTTTTTACTTCAACTTACACATTCCATTCACCACTAATTATCAATGCATATCGATTGCATGTTTGATAAATTTCAGCATGAAGAAGTTGAAGAAGTCATTGTTCTTGCAAAAATCTACCATGTGATCTCCAGCATCATTTTTATCACTAAATCCATATTTTCCAACTACAGATCCTTCCTCTTTGTTTCCAAACTTTGCATTCCAATTACCAGTAATTATCAGTGTATGTTTGATTAATTTCAGACTGAAGAAGTTGGTAGAATTTTTCAATTTCACCATCATTGGCTTCAGTAGTTGGTATATAAGTTTGAGTAATAGTGATATGAATTCGTCTTCCTTGTAGACATATGGATATTATCCTATCACAGACAACATTGTACTTCAAGATAGATCTTGGTATGTTCTTTTTGATGATGAATGCAACACCATTCCTCTTGTATTTGTCACCCCCGAAATAGTAAACCATAAGATTATCTGATTCAAAATGGCCAATACCAGTCCATTTCAGCTCTCTAATGCCTAGGATATTGATCTTCATATGTCGTATTTCATTTTTGACAACTTCCAATTTTCCTAGATTCGTATTTCGTGCATTCCATTTTCTGATTATTAATGGATGTTTTACCCTATCAGCAAATGAAGGTCCTGAAAGATTACTCCATTCATACCATTATGGTCATCTCTACTTTGAGGAGGCAGCTCTTCCTTAGTCATTTTTTTGAGTGCTTTCCAACCTGAGGTGCTTGTCTTCTGGCACTACGCTGAGGGAACTGGACTGCTAACCACAAGGTTGGTGATTCAAACCCACCACCTGCTCCTGGTGTGGCACTGTAGGATAAGCAGTCTGTCAAACAGCCGGTTTGAACTGCAAGGTCAGCGGTTCAAATTCACCAGTCACTCCTCTGTATAGGGTCACTATGAGTCAGAACCGACTTAACAGTACTTAACAACAACAACAACAACCTGCTCCTTGGAAATCCTATACAGGGTCATTATGAGTCAGAAGCAACTCAATGGCACTTAATAACAACAACAACAACAGGATAAGGGTAAGGAGTTCTTAGGTGGTGCAAACAGTTAAATACTGGGCTACTAATGGAAAGGTTGGTAGTTCAAACCCACCCACAGGTAGCTTGGAATAAAGGTCTGGAGATATGCTTCTGTAAGGTCACAGCCTTGAAAACTTTATGAAGTACGGGTCTACTCTGAAACATATGAGATTGCCATGAGTAGGAATTGACTGAGGGTAGTGCAGGAGGAAGGGATATCCTGGAATAATAAATGCCTGGAGTCTGGGTAGGACAGGACCTGGTGTTTTTACCTTCCCTCAATATGATGCCTTTTCTTCCAAATGAAGCTGATAAACTTCTTGCTTACAAAACAGATTCCCTTTTCACCCACCATTCTCTTTCTGTGACTTTTGAGACATCTGGTTTATGGATTGTTGATAAGCCAGAGATTCTGCTGTATGCTAAGGAGATGTACTTCTAGCATCTTTGCACACTCGTACTCCTCTTCCAGTTTATAAAAACCCATTCATATTTAATTTAATTCTTCCAAATGGCTTCCTCATCATCCTAACTTCCCACTTTGTAATGCATCATTGTCTCTCTTACGCACGTACCTGCCAAATTAAACTTTATGGTTTATCAGCTAGAAAATTGCCTTAGGATAGTGCCAAGTGTTTTGCAAGTTAGGTTATGGGCTTTCACACCTGTCAGTTTGCTTTTATTGTTCAGATGAGTATATACCTTCCTTTCCACTAAGTCCTGTGGTTATGGTCTTCAGCTGTCAGGATCCTCCACACAGTCAAGTTTGTGCAGGGCCTTCCCCTTGTCTCTTGTATAACTGGGAGGAAGGGGAATGGTCAAATAGGAAATAATAAACTCTCTTGGAGACTTAGATTATTAGGGTTTTAGAGGAGACTTGCTCTAACATTGCAAACTAGCCTTGCCTGGGGTTTATTACACACCTGGCAGAAGGCCAGAGGAAGAGCACACAGGTCAACCACTTTGCTGTAATTGGTCCCCTGTCCTTCCCTCCTTGTGAGATAAATAAATACTGGACATTTGTCCTGGGCTGACTAGGATCTCACAAGAAGGGATGGACAGTTACATAAGAGGTAGGGGAAGGCCCTAAGAGTCTAGCTGCCTCTCACTGTTGTCTCCCTTTAAAGCACAGGTTTCCTGGGGAGGCAGCTAGAAGCCTAGAAAAGGAACAATCAAACCCATTGCTGTTGCATTGATTCCATTGCATAGTGACTCTATAGGACAGAGTAGAACTGCCCATAGGGTTTCCAAGGCTGTAAATCTTTATGGGAAACATTGCCATCTCTTTCTCCCATGAAGTGCCTGGTGCAAGATACATTTTATATATGCCTATATGATGCATATATATGAGTCCTGGTGTGGTCATACAGGATAAACACTGGGCTGCTAACCAAAAGTTCAGCAGTTCAAATCCACCAGTCGCTCCTTGGGAACCATATATAGAGTAGCTATGAGTTAGAACCAATTTGATGGCATGAAACAACAACAAATATATATATATAAATAAATATATATATATATATCATAGGATAAGCTCACCAGCTGCTCTGTGGGAGAAAGGTGAGACTTTCTGCTCTATCAAATATGTACAGCCTCAGAAACCCTATACAGGGTTGGTACTCATGGAGACCAACTTTACGACACATAACAACAACAGTATATACATGGAGGCCTGGTGTGATGCTGTAGGATAAGCACTGGATCTTTAACCACAATGTTGGTGGTTCAAACCCACCAGTCAATCCTCAGAAACTTTATAATAAGTTAGAACAGACTTCACAGCACTTAACAACATATGTCTAGGTGTGGCACTGTGGGTTAATGCGCTGGACTGCAAAGTCAGCTTGAACAGCAATGTCGGTGGGTCAAACTCACCAGCTGCTCCTTGGAAACCCTATACAGTGGGTCAGAACCGACTCGACGTCACTTAACAACAGCAGCAACAATATATATAAAGGGTATTAGAGGACACTTGCTCTAACATCGCAAATTAGCCGTGCGCTGGGGGTTGTTACACAAATATATATTGTTGTTGTTGTGAAGTGCTGTTGAGTTGGTTTATATACAAACACACACATATATATTCCTGGTGTGGCACTGTAGAATAAGCACTGGACTTCTGACCTTAAGGTTAGCAGCAGTTCAAACCTACCAGTCCCTCCCAGCCCAATACAGAGTTGGAACTGAGCCAATGGCATTTTATAGCACAACAATATGTATATATATATGGAGTCCTGGTGTGGTGCTATGGGTTAATGTGCTGGACTGCAAAGTCAAGCTTGAACCTCAATGTCGGTGGTTCAGGCTCACCAGCTACTCCCCAGAAACCCTGTACAGGGTCTCTATGAGTTGGAACAGACTCGACAGCACTTAACAACAACAACTGTATATAGAGATATATGCAAACACACATATGTATAAATATGCAAATACACATATATAAACACACACACCCCTAGCAGATTATCTAATACATTAGTAGGCACCCAATAAATGGTAGATGCTCTAACATTCAAAGCACATTAGTTGTTATTGTTAAGTGCTGTCAAGTTGATTCTGACCCATAGTGACCCTGTATAAGGTTTCCAAGGAGCAGCTGGTGAGTTTGAACTACTGATCTTGCTGTTCAAATGGCTTTTCAGTCTTGTGCATTAACCCACAGAACCACACCAGGCCTCTAGTACATTAGAAGGCACCCAATAATGGTAGATGTTCTAATATTCACAGGAGGAGAAGGGTGCTGATGCAATTTGGATGCATAAACTTACTCCTGGCTTTGGGTAGGAGTGGCTCCATCTCTGGGCATTTTTTTGGCAGAAGACTCTGGGGTCCAGGGCAGCCCCCCATGATCATCAGTGTTAACAGTGCAGTCTGAATTGTTTTCAGAGGCTCCATAAGGAATTGCCACTCAGCCTGGAAGAGCTGGAGGATGTGTTTGATGCCCTGGATACGGATGGCAATGGCTTTCTGACCCCAGAGGAGTTTACTACTGGATTTAGTAAGTTCTGATGGATACTGGGGACCTAGGATTATGAATCTACACAAATCTGTCACACCTCTGTCACCTCCAAATCTAGGGGACAGTGTAGTGTGCCATTTCCTGGCCCCCTTTCAGGGATCCAGAGCCAGAAAATTTCAAGCTATGACTTATTTGAATCTCTTTCCACATGTCCAGCTCATCTGCTTACAGAAACTCCCTTAGAGTCTATGCACTGCCACTACCCAATGCCCCTCCCACCACAGAATAGCAAGGGGACTAAATGGAAGCCCTAATGGAAGGCTTTGGGAAGCTGAGTTGAGATTTCAAGGCTCTCCTTTTCAACCTTAAAACAAAAAGACAACAAAGTGGGACGATGGCCAAATGGGTCATTCCAAGCTGCATTTGGTTGCATCTTCTAGCTTGAGGGACACTAGCTAGCAGAGGGATTCTAGAGGTTTTGAATAGATTCGTCATTCTCAAGGTAACCAGAAGGAAGAAGAACTAAAGTCCATGAACAAGATAAAGAAGCCAGGTCCACCTTCATATCACCTACTGATCAGGTGTCGATCAGAGCACATACTGATCAGATAAATTAACAGGAAAATTTTGCTATGCATCTGTCCATGTAGGATAGGCTGCTGAGATGTATCTGACACCTTTCTGGACCTTCAGAGACTTATCATTGACCTAAAAGTGTAAGACAGACTGCTGTAATTCTAGACAAATATGGAGAAGGTGCACCCCAAGCTGTTAAGTCCCTTGAAATGGGGAGGGCCATGATGTTGACTCGGATGATAATATGGAGCACAAGCAGTCAGGCTGCTGGAGAAGAGTGGAGGGAAAGGACTTGTTGCTTACGAATCTTACCACCAAGAAGGTGGGTTCTGAGCCAGACTTGAAAGAACTGAGATGTTGCAATAGCTGCCATGCATTCTGCCTTTCCCAGGTCTCAGGCTCTCTGGAACAGCACTCACAGAAGTGAGAGACTGGGAGTTAGACACAAAACCATGGCGCCCAATGATCTTTTGTTACAGGGGATTGTCGTCTCTCAGATGAACCAACCTCAAACGATTCCCAGTGACCACGAAAACTAAGGTCTTCCTGGGTGTATACTGCCTAATTCAGATCCCTATGCCATGCCTCCCTAGGTCAATTCTTCTTCAGCCAGAGCAACCCAAGTCAGGAAGATGCAGGTGAACAAGTGACCCAACTCCAGGAAGAGAAGGTCTATCAGTCCAGAGGGGAAGAGGATCTGGGTGACTTGGATGAAGATGAGGAAGCTCAGTTCCAGATGCTGATGGACAGACTTGGAGCCCAAAAGATTTTGGAGGAGTAAGTTTGTGACAGTGATTTGGGGGATGGTGTGTAGGAGAAAGCTCTTCATCTGTCCCATTCAACATGCAGATTCCATGCTAAGTCCTGCCAGCTAAGGAGCCTTGCTTCACCCTGCTGTTTTCAATGACTGTCTGTGTTCTGTGATCGACTGGCTCTGTCTCTGCTTTGTACATTTCTTTCATGGGTTGATTTATCTGAGAGAAGAAAAAGGAAAAATCTCCTATAGCACCCTATATCCACCTGCCCTCACCTTCTACTCTTCTCACATTCTGCTCTACCTTGTCTTCACCACCCTTGGCTCTGCCTTGCTTCCCAAAGGGGTGCTCACACATCAGAGGTCTGTGCCATGCTCTGGGGGATTTTCAGGGAGCTTTGCCCTCAGCCCCCTAACACACCATCTTTATAGCATTTTCACTCCCCTGGGAGCCCACTGTGTGTCTCTGGAGCTGCAGAGCATCCCTACCGTCTGCCATCGTGGGTGTGTTCCTGGCAAAGGCATCTCACAGGGAAGTGTCTGCACATTGTATCCCTGAGCCAAACCAAACCTGTTCAGGAAGCCGAGGCGGGAAATTCGTCAGTTTTTAACCAGCCCACCACTTGGATGATCAGTAGCTCAGCTGAAATTTTTAGATGGCTGGAAGTTTAAACATAAACATACTACTCAAAAATCCTTCCCACATCCCCCAAAAGATCCTTTAGAATATGGAAACACATCGATCTAAGGCCTGGCATAAAGAAAAAAAGAAAAAAGTGATGTGGTAACTAATGGAAACCAGACAATGAGCCGGAAAAAATGTGTAATATTCTCTATTCTCTTTTCGAATTGCCTTTATCGTTTTCATTCCGGGATCGGTAGGTCTTGGGTAAAGACCACAGTAATTAAGTGCTTGGCTGCTAACTGAAAGGTCGGTGGGTGGTTCATCCGTACTCCGCAGGAGAGGAGACCTGATGATCTGCTCCCATAAACGTTGTTGTTGTTAAGTGCCCCGTCCAGTCAGTTCTGACTCAGTGACCCTATTTAGGATTTCTGAGGAGTTACTATTGAGTTTCAACTGTCAACTTGCCATTCAAAATAACCCTGCTTAGGAAACCCTATGGGCCAATTCTCCTCTGTCACAGTTGGCCATTATAATTCAGAATATACTGGACACCACACAAGAATAGAAACAAGTCTGGGTGGAGTCCCTGGTTGTACAAATGCTTATCATGTTCAGCTGCTAGCCAAAAGGTTAGAGGTTTGAGTCCACCCAGAGGAGCCTCAGAAGGAAGGCCAGGTGATCTGTCTCAGAAAAATCGGGCCTTGTAAACCCTGTGGAGCACAGTTCTACTCTGATGTACCTGGAGTTGCCATGAGTCAGGGCTAACTTGGTAGCAGCTGATTTGAGTTAGCTCTTGGGTTGTGTGTGTGTTTCGTGTGGGGTGGGATGGCTAAAGAAAAGGAGGGACTGTGGTGGCTAATGATAAAAAGGAAGAAAGGAAGCCAAATAAGAAGGGGTCTGCAGCAATGCCCAGGCCAAAGGCAGCATCTGCAGCTCTGTGAGTTTTTAGTAAACATTGGTAGACTGTGGCAGGGTTAAGAAAGGCTAGCAAAATCGATGCCATAATTTTGAAGGGGACAAAGACCCAGAGGAAACCCCTCCTGGACGCTCTGGACAGGAAGTAAACTTATTAGCAACAGCAGCTAATGTCAGACTAGAAGGCAATGATGCAGGTGTGGGTTGGGCAGCATGAGGGTGTAGGTGAGGGCTCAGGTGAGCCAGACACCTGATTCAGCTTCTTCAAGAGGCCAGAGCACAGTGACCACTGAAAATGAACCTTTGAATCCTCCTGGACAAGCAGAGAGGAGAGCAGAGTGGGTGAGCCACAGCACACAGGTGACTCTCCATCCACCCCTCACTTCCCTGGCAGCCATCTTCCTGACCGACTCTGAAATCTGAGCTCACCAGATGTTACTCTAAAGACCAATGGCAAATGTCTGTGCATACCTGAGCCAAAATGAGATGTCCTGTAAATTAAAGGCTCTGGGGAGTTTCAAGAGTGGTCTATAAAAATGAATATGGCGACCCACCATTTCCCTCCTTGTTGAAGTCAGAACACACAAAGGAAATGGGCTTAAGTTACAACATGAGGAAGACATTCATGACCAATGGACCCATATCAAGAAATCGAGAGGCCGGGAAGACTTTTGAGGTCTTTGTGTGTGATCTTGGAGACAAGGAGATGGGTTGACTGACCCCTCAGAATGCCTCCCAGCCCTATCTATATTATTTCATGAGAGACAGCCTTAGTGTGGATCAGAAGTAGTATGCTAGACATCAAACTTTCTTGGTAGTCTAATTTGTTGAGTGATTTGACCAAATTTGGTGGACCTTATCTTATTTTTCATCAGGGCTCAAAAGTCTTGTCCTTTCTCCAGCTCTCTGGGTGAAGTAATGCAGTCATGATTAAGTTGTTTAAAGAGCTTTGGGAGAGTCAGATGAGCCTACACATCTCAGAGGATACTTTAGCCCAATAGACTAATGGGAAATTGACAGATGTGACTAGACAGACATAGGCTAACAAGGTGGCCCTTGATTTTATAATGCATTTACTTTCTCGGGAGCCGTCTGCCACAGTGATGGGAGGTCATCGTGCCGTCTCTCTGAGACCCTTTTAGTCCTGAATACTTTGTGCTAGCTCCATTTTACTTTATACAATAAAGTACATAGCCACTACATGTTCTGTGTGGGGAAAATAGAGTGTATTCTGGGGAATAGAGAGGCTTCTTACGCCACCTTCTCCTATTCCTAAGACTCCCTCACATCATCCAGCACAAGGCTAGATTTTCAAGTGATAATAATAAATACATATTGATTGATTAAATAGATGAATGAATGGATAGAGGATCTAGGTGAATAGGTAGGTATTTGAATTATTGTTGTTGTTAAGTGCCATTGAGTCAGTTTAGACTCATAGGGACCCTGTATAGGGTTTCCCAGGAGCAGCTGGTGAATTTGAACTGCTCACTTTATGGTTCAAACCAACCTTGTGGTCCGGTACATTATCCTGTCAGCATCACATCAGAACTGTTTGAATAGGATTGGGAAAAGAATGGATAGAAAGGATGGGGCCAGAGAAAACAAGAGGGAGGGAAGGAGGCAAGAATGATTGGATAGATGGTCAGATAACTAACCAGATGTGGGTTCATTTTCTTGTTGTTTGTTGTTAGGTACCATTGAGTCAGCACCAACACATAACAACCCTGTGCACCACAGAATTAAACACTGCCCGGTCCTGTGCTACCTCACAATTGTTGCTTTGCTTGAACCCATTGCTACTGCCACTGTGCCAACCCATCTAGTTGGGGTTCTTCCTCTTTTTTAGGTTTTCGGTGACTAAATATTCAGAAGTAGTTCGTCTCTCCTTCTTCCTAGTTTGTCTTCGTCTAGAAGCTCATCTGAACCTTGTCCACTGTGGGCGATCCTGCTGGTATTTAAAATACTGATGGCATTGCTTCCAGAATCACAGCAATGTGCAAGCCACCATAATAAGACAAAGGGACAGACAGGCGGCAGGAATTCAGTTCCTAGTGGACCTTTTTTCTGCTGGGTGTAGATACTCACCTTTGTGTCCCAAAGCCATTGCTAAGATGGCATTATCAATGTCACTTTTGAGGGGAAGTGTCTTAAATATAGTGCTTGTTGCACATCTGCAAATGATTCTGTTCTCTTATAAACATTCTTGGTCCTAGCTACCCTCAGATCATACAGGCGTTAGAATTTGATGGGATACAAATCAGGTTTATCTAACTGGATGGTTGACTATAGATTCTTGAGTTTTTCCAGATGGAAGAACAGGATGCCTGGTGTGCCTTCTCTTGGGGACCAGTGTGACCTTGTATACCTCTGTTTGTGCTGTGTCCACATGTGTCCCAGTGTGCTTGTCTCTGGGGCTTGTTTCATTCATGTTACCCTGTGTCTCTTCCTCTTTGCCTGCTTCCATCTCTGCTTGTCCTTCTCTGTGTGCACATATGTCTTTCAGACTTGCTCTACCTTTCATTTTACCTGTCAATCATTCCCTTTGCCACCAGGTCCCCGTGGGGTGCTGCATAGTTTATTCCACTCCCTGCAGTGACAATTGCTTACTGAGGTTCATCAGCTGGCACATCTTTACCTCTCAGCAGTCAGGACCACTATTTCTGGGAGTGACAAACTCTGTCCTTTAGCTCCACAGAGCCTGTCCTCACATGTTTGAAGTCCCATCCTCCTCTCTTCTCCTGGCACTTAGAGATGCTCTTTTTTTTTAATGTTTTATTGTGAATTATGTGATAGTTTACATGGGAGAACATTAGTATTACATTCATTCTATCGTATATTGTTTCATTGCTATGGTTACAATCCTCTCCATGCATCATCAACCAACCAAAGGGTATATATACACTACAAGCCTGCACCCCAGTCCCTCTCTGGATCTAAAGTCTCCAGCTGCTCCACCTCTCCACATCATCATCTCTGCCCCTGTCTCTGGTGTCACTGCTTCTCTGAGTAGGGTCCCACTAGAGATGCTCTTATGGACGTCTCTGTGCATCCTTGGTGCCGTGACCCATCGTGAGAGACACCAGCGAAGTGTTGCCTTAGAGAATGATGATTGCTGATGGAGGAGACTATGTAGTGCCCCAGAGAAGCCTAGTGGCAAAGGGAGTGACTGATAGGTGAAAGAAAAGAAAGGAAAGAGCAACTCTGAAAGATGCATGTGGTTACAGACCACCTTGAAGCTGACTCCTGACTCCCTCTCTTACCAGCTGAGTGATTTCTGATAGGTCGTTTTACCTCTCTTCCTCCCTGTCTCCACATATATAAGTGGGGAAGGTGGGGGGTAAAAGTGGCGCTGTGGGATAATCACTGGACCATGAGGTCAGCAGTTCAAATCTACCAGCTGCTCCTCGGAAACTATGTGCAGGGTCGCTATGAGTCAGAATCAACTCAGCAGCACTAAACAACAACAATGTTATGATGACAGTGGTGGTGGCTCAATGGTGGAATTCTTGCCTTCCATGCATGAGACCTAGGTTTGATTCCAGCCCAATGCCTCTCAAGTACAGCTACCTTCTGTCTGTCAGTGAAGGTTTGTATGCTGCTCTGATGCCAAACAGGTTTCAGTAGAGCTTCCAGATGAAGACAGGAAGGCAGGCTTGGTGATCTAGTTCCAAAAATCAGTCCATGAAAGCCCTATGGCTCACAATAGTCCGATCCACAACCAATCACAGGGATGGTGCAGGGCCAGGCGGCATTTCGTTCCATTGTGCACAGGTCAACTTGAGTCACCTAACCACAGCAAATCATCATGATGGTGGTGATGGTGTCACTGTTGTTGTTGCTGTGAGCTGTGGAGCTGTTTCTAACTCATAATGGCCCCGTACAGAGTTTCTGAGAGCTGCTGGTGAGTTTGAATTGCTGACCTTGTGGTTAGCAGTCCAGTGCTCATCCTATACCAGGGCTAATAGTCATTAATGGTGATGATGATGTTGGTCCTGTGTGTCAATTTCACACTCAGGAAGCCCTGTGCTTCCCATAAAGCCTTTCCCTGGCTCCCACCTGTTCACGCTAACGTCCCTTCATTTCTGGCAGTGAAACTGATGTCAAGCAACTTTGGCTGCAGCTGAAGAAGGATGAGCCTCACTTACTGTCCAACTTTGAGGATTTCCTGACCAGGGTCTTCTCTCAGCTCCAAGAAGCCCATGAGGAGAAGAACGAACTGGAATGTGCCCTGAAAAAGTAGGTGTCCAATTTCACCTGTTTTTCTGTTTTGTTTTGTATATATGTGCATGAAAAATAGTAATATAAAGTGTGGCTTCTTATATCTTCCACTGAAAGATTCCATGATATCTACATAGGCTGGGCCCTCTGACTGTGATCATATTTTTAAAGCCTTCATTCATATCTATTACCCACTTAATGTATGTTAAGCACTATTCTAACTATTGCATCTAAACGGTTGTGGCTATTATTGTTAAGTGCTGTTGAGTTGGTACTGACTCATAATGACCCTGTATAAGGTGTTCAAGGCTGTAAATCTTTGCAGAAGCAGAAAGCCTCATCTTTCTCCCTTGAAGTGGCTAGTGGGATTGAACCATTGACCTTGTGGTTCACAGCCTAGTGCTTATCTACAAAGCCACTGTGCTCCTTGTATCTACACTAGCTCCTTTAATTTTCACAGCAACTCTCTGAGGTAGGCATGTTTTACAGATGAAGAACTCAAGACGCTGAAAGGTTAAGTAACTTACATCAGGTTACGCAGCTTGAAAGTGGTAGAGCCAGGATTCATAATGAGATAGGCTGATACCTGAAACCTGGAGGTATACCATGATCCCCATCTCTGGGCAGTAAGACCCCAGCATATTGGTCCTGTCTCCCAATTCCAGATCAGCTTCACTTTGACATAGGTGGACTTCCATGAGGTGGTTCATAGACCTACTCATTTAATGTCTTCTCTCTCCCACATACTTTCACATCTCTTCTACCCTCTTCATCACCAACCCTCTTCTAATACTTAGTGAGTCCTAGGATTCCTTATTCCCTGGGCAAGTTAAACAAGGACACCTGAAGAACTTCTCAAGACCTGAACCAGAGCCAGTGCCTGCAAGCTTATCTATAATGCTACGCAAGTCTATTAGACACTAGTCCTCTTAGGAGAATGAAGGTGCCATTAGGGGCACTGTGCTTGTTCCCAGTCATTTAGTGTATATTGACAACAATGGGCTTTCATTCTGTAAACATGGAATTAGATGTGGTGTAATTTAGGTCAGCCCTTTCAGCATAACCCTGAAAGTAAGGCCAACGCTCAGAGCTGGGTTTGGGTAGAGCTTGGAAACACATGGAGGTGGTCCTTCCTTTCGTGCCTCCTCCGTGCATTCACACTCTGTTCCTAACAATGAATGCCATGCCTATGAGATTCCACAGATCACTTTCTCCTTCCTTCAGATGCTTCCCAACCAAACTCTGTGGGACCCAGCGCTGCCTTCTGGGGGGTGTAAATGTTTCAGTTTATACTGAAATGGTCTTAGAAAAGCCATACAAGCCCATAGTTTAAAAAGAACGGATCACAGCTCTCTCCACATTCCCCAGGACCCCAGTCTTTTTCATTTCGTGCCTCCTCAACATCAGCGCTACAAATACTTGTCAGTGGTCATTGGGTATATACAGTGTGTTGTTATTAGATGCTGTTTAGTTGATGTTCGACTCCAAGTAGCCCCATGTAACAGCCCATCGGGTTTTTTTGGCTGCAATCTCCACATATGCAGATCTCCAAATCTTTCTCCTACAAAGCGTCTGGGTGGATTTGAACTCTCAGCCTTTTGGTTAGCAGCTGAGCACTTAACTGTTGCACTACCTGATTTCTTTGGGGTGTACATATGCCTAGAAAAATCAGACCTTCAGGATCCTGCATTATGGGGACATTGTATCCAAAAAGTGCTCTGAGGGAACCATGGTTTGACTTGAGGAGTGTTAAGAGTGTTTTGTTGTTGAGTGCCAAGGAGTTGGTTCCAGTTCCTAGTAGCCCTATAGGTCAGAAGAGAACTGCCCCGAGGGTATTCTAAGAGAGAGGAATTCCGAATTCCCAAGGTTTAAGAAGGAGGATTGAGTCAAACCAAACCAACCCTATTGCTGTCCGATTGATTGCAACCCTATGATGGTGGTGATGGTGGGGTGCTGTGGAGTCAGTTCCTATTCATAGCGACCCTGTGCAGGGTTTCCGAGGCTGTAAATCTTTACAGGAGCAGAAAGCCTCATCTTTCTCCCTTGGAACAGCTGGTAGTTTTGAACTGCTGACTTTGAGGTTAGCAGCCCGATCCGTAACCACTACACTACCAGAGCTCCTTATAGGACAGAGTAAAACTGTCCCATGGTGTCTCCAAAGCTGTGCAGTTTGGAAGGCTGCCTTAGCTGTCTCTGGGAAAACTGCTGGTGGGCTTGAACCACTGACCATTTGGTTAGCAGCTGAGTGCTTAATCACTGCACCACCATGAATCCTTTTTAGCAGAGTAATACACCTCTGTGTGCCCTTTAGCAGATTAAGTTGTGGAGTCAGATGGAACCAGGCTAGACCAAGCTACCTAACCTCTCTGGGTCTCAGCTCTCTTAACTGTGAAGTTGGGGTGTGAGAGTATCTACCTAAGCGTGATTACAGATTAAGTCACATAACACAGGGAGTAGTTGGGATGCCACTGGCACATAAGTGCTCAACGACTGTTAACATCAGTTTTTATTGTTCTAAATAAGCATGCTTGTCATTCTGAGAGAATTTGCCTAGCTGTAGTGGAGAATTTGAGCCTTGATATTATTAAAGGTGAAATTGAAGGATCCCTTTAGCCTTCCAGACAGTGTAGTGTAGAGCCCTGCTATTCAAAGTGTGGTCTATGGACCAACAACTTCGGCATCACCTGGAAACTTCTTAGAATTATAGAATCTTAGGTCTTCCCCAGTCCTGCTGAATCTGCATTTTTACAAGATGTCTGTAGCTTCCCATATGGATCTGAGAATTGGAGGGAGGAGGGAGAGACCTACAAGACCTAGGTTTGAACCAGCTAGCCCTGTGACCTTGCTTACGTTTATTGACCTCTCTGAGCCTTGGTTTTCTCATCTATAAAATAAGAGAACCAGATTCATTTATGTCCCTCACTCCCCAACAACCTCAGTGTTTTTTGCCTGGAGGAGCCCTGGAAGTCAGATGGCAACTTCCAGAAAGGGGGTTACTAATATGGTCTCTGAGAAGAGTATGGGCAGACACTACCCAATCATGGCTCAGAATCTTCTCTGCCTGGTCCACACTCCTGCAGAGAGAGACAAGAACAGCTTCTCAGTCCTGATGCCCATCTGCAGGTGGCCCCTATTAGTACTTTTGTACTAATTTAGTGATTGTTCTAAAAGGTCTTGAGATGAAAGTCAAAACCACTCTTGGCTGCTACAAAACTAGCTCAACCAAAGGTCCCCAGCCCTTCCCTGCCCATGCTCAGTCGTTATGCCTGCCAGCTACACCTTCCCCTGGGCTCAGCTAATCAACACCCACTCCTAGTGGGGGAGCTCTGGTGGGCTTGGAGCGTCACTAAGCTCTCTGACTGATCCCATTTGATGGTGTTCTCTGGGTGCAAAGCATTGAGCTAGCATCTATTGTAAGCAAAGCGCGCAGTTGGAATCAGGAGGAACCTGAGTTCTTGCTCAGGCATAGCCACATACAGCTGTGGGAACTCTGGCAACTTGCTTTACCTCTCAGGGCATCAGTTTCCTGGGAAAACTGGATCAGTGTCTTTCAAATTTTGTGTGATTGCAACTCATTGGCAGAAATGCATCTTACTTTGCAACCCCCATACACTTATGAGTGTGTATCACTGACTAGCCGTGGAAGAAGGACATTATGCTTGGTAAAATGGAGAGTCAGCAAAAAAGAGGGAGACCCCCACCCCCCACTGAGATGTATTGGCACAGTGGTAAGGAGCTCAGGCATAGCAACAACTGTGAAGATGGTGCAGGACTGGGTGGTGGTGGTCTTTCTGTTGTGCGCAGGGGTCGGTGCCAACTCAAAGGCACCTAACAACAAGCACAAAACAATATCAGAACCAAAAGTTTCATGAAATAGGACTCATCCTTCTTCAATGGGAACCTCTCTGATCTTTTGTATTATCAGATTCTCTTCTATTCTATCAAAAAGTTAAATATTAGTCATACTCTGCGACCCACTGCATAGAGTTCACCATTTGCTTCTGGACCAGATGACCTTTAAGGGCCCCATATAGATCAGAAATCTAACAAGAAAGTGGCAAGTCCTGTAGACTCTGTTGTTGATTTTATTGTGTGCCCTTAGATCAATTCCATTCCAACTCACAGTGACCCTAAACAACATTATAGAACTGCCCCTGTAGGATTCCTTAGGATATCATCTTTACTGGAGCAGATTTCTGGGTATTTTCTCCTGCAGAGCAGCTGGTGGTTTTGAACCACCGAGATTTTATTTAGCAGCCAAGAATTTAACTTTTGCACCACTCCCTAATACCCCCAAACCCAGTGCCATCAAGTCAATTCTGACTCACAACGACTCCATAGGACAGAGTAGAACTGCTGCTTAGGATTTCCAACACTGTAAATATTTACAAGAGCAGGCAGCCTCATCTGTCTCCCAAAGAGCCACTAGTGGGTTTGAACCTACAAGCTTTCAGTTAGCAGCCCAATGCTTAACCCACAGCACCACCAGAGCTCCTTTAACACCACTAGGGATTCTAGAGCTATGGGCTCTAGAATGTTTAAATGGGATTATGATCTTTGCAAATGACTCAAGGTGAAGCTAAGTGACTGTGGGACATCTTAGAGAAAGTGAGTTTGAAGGTTTGAGCAAGTTTGTGGGAGGGGCCTGTCATGTAGGCTTTCCTGAAGGCAGAGGGAGGAAGCTGGCCTAACGTGAAATTCAGTTTGGAGGACTCCTGAGAACAGAATGTCTCTCAGGTTCCTCCACAAGCTTGATTGTCATATAAGCTGTGACATTTCAGCTCCATCTGTGAAGCAAGTACCTGTCCCAGAAGTCATCACTGCTGTGTGTCTAGCCCGAGACTAAACATCAGGGGAACACAATCCATGTGTTACTAGTAGCTAATGTTGACCAATCACCTACTATGTGCAGCACGGAGCTCAGCAGACAGGACACACAGTCCCTGTCCTTGAGAGTTTACGATCACACTGGGGAGGCAGAGCTTTTATACCCATAACAATTCACTGGGAAATGAAGC